AGGGAGAGGAAAACAGACGGCTCTGTAACAGGTGACTTTGCCCGTGGTTTCTGAATCCTGTGCTGTGCTCCTCCGTGCCAGGGGCAGGGTTGGGGTTGGGTAGGGAGGGAGGCCTTTCTGTTTTAGACAGTAGCACCCCCTGCCCTTATCTGCAGTTTTACTTTCTGTGATTTTAGTAACCTGCAGTCAATTTTGGTCTGAAAATATTAAATGGAAAATTTCAGAAATAAGTAATTCATAAGCTTCAACTTTTTCTACAGTATATCATTCTAATTGCTGTGTTTCATCATTAGTTATTGTTGTTCATGCCATGCTCTGCCTGATTTACAATGAAGCTTTCTCATAACTGTGTATGCAGGGGTGGAAATGCTAGCATATTTAGGGTTTGGAGCCATCTGCAGTTTCAGGCATCCGCTGGGGGCCTTGGAACGCCAGTCCCATGGGTGAGGAGGGCCTGCTGTACCCCTTTCATTACCATCTTTCCAGCACCCTAAATTCATGCATGTGCTACTCTTTCTGGAACCTGGTCTGGTTTGGGATTGAACAGGCCTCCATGAGCTGAGCTTTGGGGAAAATGCATCCCGATTTCTGCAAAGTGACTGTTGACACCTATTTTTATATCACAGTACTCAGAAACTTACTGTGCGAAACAGAAAGTCATGACTTGTTGAAATGGGTTCTGAGATGGAGACGAGGCTTCTCTCGTGTGAAGATGGTGGGCAGATGGCTGTGCGGCCTCCCCTGTGCTAAGCTGGCTTTCCCTGTCTCTCACTTCCTGCTTGAGAATTTCAGAACATAGGAGCTGTACAGCTAGTACAGGCAGCGGTTCAGACACATCTCGTAGGAGTCATTCGCACCCTCAGTGCCGTCCAGAGCTGAAAGATGTGTGAAGTCACTGGTTGGGTGACTTTTTCCCACCTCATACACACCAAAGCAAACACAGAATGGTAAGCACCAGCCAGGGCTTACCATGTGCCAGGCCCCATGCCCAGCCTCGCTGGCCCCCCATGTCTCCTGGCCAGCTCTGGGACAGGGTGATCTGGTGTCTCCCTGTAACTGAGGGTGGCCTGCCCCAGGCCTGGCAGCAGTCAGGGCCGGTGCTACCTGGATCACTGACCTTTCACACGCTTCATAGGTGCTGTTAGAGCTCCCCCAGCCAGGGGCCCACCACCCTCTGACACCCAGAGGCCACCCCTGCCACCACCACAGAGCTCCATCCTCAGGTAATGTGTCACCCCCCAGGTGGCTCCCAGCCTCTGCTGGCTCTGGCCTGAGATGCCCTGGGCCCTGGCTCTGTTCCTGCCACTCCTGGTCCCTCTTCCCTTTGCAGGCTGTGCTGAGCGCTGTGCATCGTCCGACCAGTGGGTCCTGTCCTTCAGCTCTCGGGAAAGAGGCCTGGGGCTCCGCCCGGCCTTCCCTTTCTGCAGCGCCTGCGTCTTGGAGGCCCTGGGCACCCGCCCGTCTGTGGGAGAAGGCAGAGGGCCTCCAGACAGACAGTGGCTGGGCTTCCTCTCCAGGCCTTGCTGGCCTTCCTGTGGTTGCTGGGATTATGCAGGGGCTGAGCTGTTCCCCTTTATGTGCCCGGCAGCAGATGCATCCCTGGGGTGGGGGTGGGGGTCATCATGGGTGTCTCTTGACCGAGTTCGGGGAGCTCCAGAGAGGCCCTGAGGTTGGTGCTCTTATTTCTCAGCAGTGAATGGCAGAGCTCCTCCTTCTGGTTCCATCAGCCTCTTCTCTCTGGTGCTTCCCAGGCTGCCTGGCTGAGTCGGGGGCGCTGGGGAGCAGGGCCGTGGCTGAGCACACCTGAGCCTTGGCAGGGGCCTGGTCTGGGCCGTGTGGCTCTGGGGACCACAGCTGTCTGATGAGCCATGCTCTGTCCCACAGCAAGGAGGCCAGTGGGCCTTCATCTCTCATGGAGTCAGGGCTTGGCGGCCCCGGGTTGGTGGTGCTACAATGTGCTCTGGTCTTACTTGCCTCCCTGGCATGAGAAGGCACAGAGGCAGCTCCAGAACCCCAGAGCCCTGAGTGTCAGGAAGAACAGGGCTCTGGGAGAACCCGGTGGCTGGGAGGTGGTGCTTCCCAGACAGGCAGCTCTGGGCTGTGTCAGATCCAGCGCTCTTTTGATAACACCTCTTAGACGATCCTAAAATGAAGAGGGTTGATGAGATAACCTACTAACACATGCAGTCAGTAGAAGGGCCAAATTGTGTTATCAAGGAGAAGTTAAAAAACAGTTTCTAATAAAATGTGAATTTTCTAATAAATGTGAATTTCTAATAAATGTGAATTTCTAATAAATGTGAATTTCTAATAAAAATGTGAATATGTATTTTAACATGTAAATGTTCAACACACCTTCATCAGAAGAGCTAAAATGAGGGGCAGATATGGTGGTGTGGAGGGTTAAAGGCTATCACTTGGGGTGCCTGCATCTCGTATCGGAGTGCTGGCTCAAGTCCTGCTCTGCTTCTAATCCAGCTCCCTGCTGCTATTACAACTGGGAAAGCAGCAGAAGATGGCTCAAGAACTCGGGCCCTGCCTCGCACGTGGCACAGAGTTCCAGGGGCCCAGCCATGGCTATTGAGTCATTTGGGGATAAAAGATCTCTTTTTAAAATTTTTTTGTAAAGATGTATTTATTTATTTGAAAGGCAGAGTTACAGAGAAAGAGAGAAAGACACAGATTTGGTTCACTCCCCAAATGACCACAATGGCCAGGGTTGGGCCAGTCCAAAGCCAGGAGACAAGAGCTTCATTCAGGTCTTCCACATGGGTAGGGCCCAAGGACTTGGGTCATCTTCCTCTGCTTTCCCAGGCACATTAGCAGGGAGCTGGATTGGAAGTGGATCAGCCAAGACTCAAACTGGTGCCTGTATGGGATGCTGGCCTTGTAGGCAGCTGCTTAACTCAATGCCACAACGTTGGCCCCTGGAAGATCTCTTTCTCTCTGTCTCTCCCCCTCATTCTGTCACTCTGCTTTTCTTTAGTAAAAGGCAAAAGATTTATACGATCTGAAGAGAAACCAGAGGATGTCACACTGCTTTTCAAATAAAGTAAATCTTTTGAAAAAGAATTGAACACCAATTTCAATATGTAATTTTAATGATATAAATTTCAGTATGCTACAAAGTCTTAAGATTACTAGGTGGCAAAAGATATCCAGTGTTTCATGTCTTCAGGAATTTTATTCGGCTTTAAATATAACAGTAGCTTCCATCATCCCTGTGAATATTGGCACGAGATAGCTGCAAAAGCAGACTAGTGTAGTGGTGGGCGGGCAGTTCACATACACAGGCAGTGTTGCTGTTGGTGACATGTTTTTCCTCCAAAATTGTGAACAAACCTTGATAAAGGGCAAGGAATACAACCAGGGCTATCTATATGTGGATTTCACATATACAGACCATGGGTTGGAATACTCTGAAAAACAGTCTAGAAAGTTCCATAAAGCAAAACTTGAATTTGCCATGCCCTGAGTACCGAATCCGCATGAGTGAAGTGAGATGCAGGTGTTGTGTTAGGTGTTATGTTATTTAGAGGTGATTTAAAGGGCATAGGAGGATTTTTAGAGGTTATATGCAAATATTAAGCCATTTTACATCAGGGACTTGAGCATGTCAGGACTTTGTGCTTGCTGTGGGTGGTGGAACTGACCCCCTGCAGATACCGGGGGACATTGTATTTGATGTTTGTGTGTAGATGAAGGTAGGTTCTAGAAGTGGATAATATGAATGGCCTTTCATCCATGTGAATTTCCAGATGTTTGAGAGTGGTGCAGGACGTGAGACAGTGTGCCAGAAGGTCTCCCACACTGCAGGCTGCCTTGTTTCCCATTTTACTGCCGTTACCATGTCATCCCCAAAAGGCCCCATAGGTTTTTAAAACACCTCTATCAAGAAGCCTCAAGCTCAGTGCTAGAAGGTTCTGGACAAGGTTTGGGCTCTAGAGCCAGATCCCTGGGGCAGCGTCTTTCGGCTGACACAGTTAGGCTGCAGGGAGGGGAGAGGCTGCCAGGTGTGGCTGGAGGAGGGTGAAGGGAGCCCCCCGTGCACCTGTGACCACACAGGCCAGCCTGAAGCCCAGGTGTATGGTCCTGAGGCCTGAAGAGGCCAAGCTGGGCCCCACAGGTTCCTTGCAGCTCAAAGCCAGCCTTCCCAGTCACACATCTGTTGCTTCTCAGGCCCAAGCAGTACCAGAAGGGATGGCAATGTCCCCTCTTCTCTTCCTAACCTTGTGGATGGAGAACCAGTGAGGCCCCTCCTCTCCCTCTGTGCCATATAAGGAGCCTGTGGCACCTGTGTCCCTCCAGCTGCAAGCTGACCTTGTTTCAGAGGCTGCTGTCCTGGCCCTGCCCCTCTTAAGTCTTCCTAACCTTGAACCTCAGACTGTGTACACTGGCCGTATCCTTGCTGAGAAGAGGGCATGCGCTTTGCTGAGCAGGTCGTGTAAATTAAAGCAACATTTTAAAAATTTCAAAAACAAAAAAGGGGTCAAATCCCCAGGTATTAGGGCACAATTACCTTGAAGGTACACAGCCAAAGGGACCACAAAAGTGATTCTTCTAAAGGCTGAGAGAGTAGGGCGGAGTGGTGCCTGACGGCTTCCTGTTCTAAGCAGAAACAAGATGGCGCCGTGGCTCACTAGGCTAATCCTCTGCCTTGCGGCGCCGGCACACCGGGTTCTAGTCCCGGTCGGGGCGCCGGATTCTGTCCCGGTTGCCCCTCTTCCAGGCCAGCTCTCTGCTGTGGCCAGGGAGTGCAGTGGAGGATGGCCCAAGTGCTTGGGCCCTGCACCCCATGGGAGACCAGGAGGAAGCACCTGGCTCCTGCCTTTGGATCAGCACAATGCCCCAGCCGCAGCGTGCCGGCTGAGGCGGCCATTGGAGGGTGAACCAACGGCAAAAGGAAGACCTTTCTCTCTGTCTCTCTTTCTCTCACTGTCCACTCTGTCAAAAAAAAAAAAAAAAAAAAAAAGGCAGAAACAACTAGGCGGGGAAGAAAATGCCCACACAATGTGATCTCTGACAGAGCACCTCCACACTGAGCGCTTTCTCTGGTCCCAGCCTCGGCCAGGACCAGCTGCATCCCATAATACTTGGGAGCTCAACTTGTTCTTGCCTGCTGGGCTGCGCCATTGTGTTCCTTGCTGGGTGTGGCTGCATGAGTCTGATGCTCCTCACTGCCAGTGCCTGCAGCTGGGGGGCTCTTGCTGCTGTCTCCCGGGTGGACTTTCGGTCCTGGAGACTTCTGCTTTGAAATCGCACTTTCTGCCTCATCTCTGTAGCAGCTCTGCTTTCAGTTTTAATCCATATAAATTATTCATCCATAAACTAGCTGCCGAAGAGAATCAGATTTGTAAACGGTTGCATCATTTGATCTCTATCACAGTTTTTGATGCTGTTATAACAGGGACAGGAAAGAAGAGGGAAAATGATGTTTTTCATCCAAATTGAAGTTGAATTCATGAAATGACAGAATCGCATTAGGAAGCAATTGGATTAAACTTCACTCCACGCTGCTGGGCCTCTTTTGGATTGCTCCCGATAGGATGAGTCACTGCCAAGGTCTTGAGTGCTTCCCCCAGCCCCCATGTTAAGCAGTAAATTGCAAAATCTCAAGTTATGTGTTGTCTGCTGCTCTCCCAGACAAGAAAGAACTTGATATCTGTGTGTCTTGCAAATCTCGCTCGCCCTCTTCTTTATTTAGGTCTGAAATAGAAGCACGTTGAATTCATCAGCTGCGCACTTGTCTGATGCGGCTCTTGAATGATCCGAGGTTAGCGTGGAGCTGCTTTTTCTAGGCCTGCAGTTGGAGTGATGGGGCTTCTGACTTTCCCGTGCATTATATCCAGGTTTGCATCCATTTAATTACTCAAAAATGAGCGTTCTTTTTTGTAAAAAAAAAAAAAAAGAAAAGAAAAGAAAAGAAAAAATCAACCATGCAGATCCAAACATTTTCTCATTATTTCTGTATTGATGACTGAGAAGACATTCATTACTTAGATTTATTAAAATTAGTAACTGAGCTAGAAATTACTCTTTTTGAAATAGCCCAGGAAACAAAAAATTAAAAAGGAAAGAGGAAAATAGCTATTTAGAATAGTTTAGCTAAGTATTGGGACCTGGTGTGGTGGAATTCTTAGAAATTTTTGTTCTTGAGAAATCACTAGTTCAGACACATTGCTTGGGGGTTTTCTGTAGCCTTTGTGTGGTATTTTGGATCTGGGCTGGGCATATGAGAGAGAGTAGTTGAGGTTTACTTGAAATTGGGAGCTTTTCTCTTGATGGAAGAATGTTGAGTTGTAACATGAAACAGAAGCTCATCAAAGAGCTATTGAAGCCAAAACACGATAGGTAAGGATCTTATGAATCGTGAAGGAAACACGTATGAAATTGTCTTCACCTGTGCCCTGCACTAAAGGAAAAAGTAGATGCCCTAGTGAGTAATGGTTGCCGTCTAAGAAGCTCGGAGGGCTTTACTAAGAACCAGTTACTGAAATTTATGAAGGGTCAGTGCCTAGCTTCATTTTGAAATGCCTTGTAACTGAAAAATAGAGAAGCATCCTAAGGATCTAAGTGCCGGTCTAAAATCGGTGAGCAGTTGAACCGCTTGTGTAAATGGATGAAAGTGTTTAATCCTCGGACTATTCGTGCAGTTTGCAGACGATTGCCCCCATAATAAAGGATGAGGAAATAATGAAATCATTGTGTTGAACAGTCCTTGCCAAAGGGCCTTTCTAATTAGGTGATGAAATGCGATTTGGGTGTTCTCTGAGTTGCTTATCAGTGCTGTCTCCAGGTGCTAAAAGCATTGCATGGAAGTGATTGAGTTGCTTATCTATAAGACAGAGAAGGAACGAATGCTGATGAGTTAGGAAGATATTTGATACACACTAATGGCAGATTAAGGAAAACTAAAGAAATTGTTCAACCTGAAGAATTATTTTCAGAATGTATCAGTGACTGTAAATGACCATCAGGATTGCATAATATATGAGTTAAGAAAAGCCAGAGAGGGAGCTGATTAAACTAGAAGTAGTGCAGCCCCGTAACCACACGACAGTCTCTTGTCTGCGCAGGCAGAGTGATGGTGAGTGGGGATCAAGTGGATAGTAAGTGCTTTCTGTTAATGAGCCATTGTGTCGTGTGCCTTTTGGCCTGAATCTCAATTCTCAGAGCAGCCCTGAGAATAAGTATTGATTTCATTATCACCTTCCCTGTGACAAAGCTAAGACTTAACCAAACCCAAGTGGAAAAGCTGAGTGGAAGATCTGCCGCCAGCAGCCCTGTTGTTACCCTGACTGGTGTTACGTGGTATGTACGTGGCAGGTCAGCTGTTTCTCCCTGATCCTCTCCTGTCTGCTTCCCGTGCTCCCAAGCTCAGCTGGAGTCACCACTTGAAACTTGGCTATGCACACCAGAAGTCTAGAAGGCTCTCCCGGCCCCTCCTCTTAACTGACTTTCTGTGTCTGCCAGTGTCACCTCCCACGTATCTGTTGAGTCCCTCCCCTGCTCTTCATCTTCATCACCCTCACCTCTCACTTGCACAGTTGCTCTGGCCCAACTGGCTTCCCCTGGTCCTCTCTGCCCCTCCTCCTGCCCCTCCTCCACATGTGAGTCTAACTACGGGTCTCTCCACTCACAAGTCCTTCATGGCCTCTGGGACAGGCAGAAAGAAATGATCCCCCCAAAGATGCCCAGTCTCAGTTGCAGAACCTGGAAGTGGTACCTTATATGGCAAATGAGTTGGAAAGGGGTGAACATGGCAGGCGCATTTAAGTTAAGGATCTTGAGATGGGGAGGTTATCCTGGGTTATGGACGTGTGCATGGTGGGGTTGGGGGAGAGTGCTGATTGCAATCACATATAGTCTTATAAGAGGGAGGGAGAGGGAGATTTCCACACACAGAGGAGAAGGTGATATGAAAAAGGAGCAGAAAGAGACGGGTTGAAAGCCATTGGCCTTTAAGATAGGGGTGATGCTGCCACAGGGTACAGAACGCAGGGAGCACCCAGAAGCTGAGACAGGCAAGCAGGGGTTCTCCCCCGAGCCTGCAGAGAAGCCTGGCCCTGCCAACACTTTGACTTCAGCCCAGTGACACAGGGCCCCAGGACTATGAGAGAACACCCTGCTGTTGCTTTAAGCCACCCAGTCTCTGGTAACTTAGAGCAGCCACAGGAAACTAATGTGGCCTCCCCTTGCTCTCCCCATCAGGACCACAAGCCTTGATGGGATCTACCCGGCAAAAACTGACCCTGCATGGTTTGCCCTTTGATTGTCTGTGGCCTCTCCTCTTTTTCCCCCTTATATTTTAAAATACTTTGATTGTGTTCCTCTGAGGCTGTGGCCATACAGAGTCAAGTAAGCTCATGCTGTAAAATAAACTCATGGTCCCTCTTCTTTTGAAGAAGTCATCAAAAAGTTCATGGAAAAATGCATATTACATGTTGAAAATTATGCATGGATTTCCAAATTGTTTGGTGGAGCTGGCATTGTGGCTCAGCAGGGTAAGCTGCCGCCTGCAATGCTGGCATTCCAGACCAGCGCCGTTTGAGTCCTGGCTGTCCCACATCCAGCTCTCTACTAATGAGCATGGGAAAGCAACAGAAGATGGCCAAGTGCTTGGGCCCTGCTACCCATGTGGGAGACCCTGAAGAAGCTCCTGGCTTCAGCCTGGCTCTTCCCTGGCAGTTGCAGCCACTTACAAAGTGAACCAATGGATGGAAAATCTCTCTCTCTCTCTCTCTCTCTCTCTCTCTCTCTCTGTGTGTGTGTGTGTGTGTGTGTGTGTGTTTCCTTTTCTCTGTGTAATTCTTTCAAATACATAAAGGTTAGAAAATTTTTGGACCAAGTAAACATATCCTTTAAGTCCATTTTCCATGAAAGAAACTTGTGCATAATGGTTTATATAAAAAGGGAAAAACAAAATAGCTTTAAATTGACAGTGATTTGGGGTTTGACCCCTCAGAGTCCATATTAACCTTCACTTTAACGTACGGGTTCTTTGTCCACTGTCCACTGTCCACAATCAGGCCATTTTGCGAACTTACTTGCACTGCACTGCGTGTCCTTTGCCCTTTAACCCCTAGCTCCCTTGGTCTTCCTGCAGACCCCTGACCTTGCCTGCTCCCTCCCGGCACAGGGCTCTCCTTGAATGGAGTCTTCCCACCAAGCTGACTCAGTTGCTGCTCACCCTTCAGCCTCCACTCCACTTCCCCTTTCTGGAGAGGCTGCCTTTGGCCTCTAGCCTGGCTCCTTTGCTTTTGCTGGGGTTCTTCTGACCTCTCTGTTTGCTTTGCCTGGTGCGCATGGATTTCATCTACCAGCGTGTAACATTGACCGTGGCTCATATTTCAGCTGCTACCACGTGTGCATGAACCATGAGGAACTGCCCAAGCTGGCAGCGCTTCAGTTTGCTGATCACTGATATGTAACAAAGTACAGCAGGATCAGTGACCGATCATAGTACTTCTTTTTTTTTTTTTTTTTAAGATTTATTTATTTATTTGAAAGAGCTACAGAGAGAGTGAGAGATCTTCCATCTACTGGTTCATTCCCTAGATGGCTGCAAGGGGCCAGGCAGAACCTGGCCAAAGCCAGGATCCAGGAGCTACATCCAGGTCTCCCACATGGGTAGCAGGAGCCCAAATACTTGGAGCATTTTTCTCAGGCCATTAGCAGGAAGCTGGATCAGAAGTAGAGCAGCTGGGACTTGAACCAGCGCCCATATGGGCTTCCAGCATCCTGAGTGGCGAGCGACCCCAGTCTCAGTACTTCTTTCAGATCCTGCTCTTGGTTGGTCACTGCGTCCCTGTTACTCAGTTCCCAGAGGGCAAAGAGTGCGGTTGTGTGGCCCCCTTGTCTCCTGCCAATACACTCACACGGTATTTTACAGAAAGTGGAAGGTTTGAAGAGGGACTTGGCCATTGAAGGTGAAGGGGCAGTAAAGAGGACAGGGACGATGCTGGAGGTGAAGTTTGGATCAAAGATGAACAGCTGCCCTGGGAATGGCACGGCCCAGGGACTCCAGAGAGGCAGCCACAGGCGTTCAGTGAAGCTGAGTTTATTGACACAAAGGAGGAAAGTGCTTGTAAGGACAAAGGATGAAGGCGTCCAAGAGGAAGTGATGCTGGCAAAAAAAAAAAAAAAAAAATCCTCAAGTTAAAGGAACTCTTGGAGATGTTGCACAACATAGGAAACACAAAGGCTGGAGTGTTGACAGCTGATCCCAGTTCAAAGCATGGTGAAGGTACTCACTGTGCATCAGGAGTAATATGATGGGAAAAAAGCAAGCCCTGTTCACACTACTTTTCATAAGGTTTTTTTTTGTTTGTTTTTAATAAAAAAGGAAAACTTTAATGTTTTAAATTACATCTGTTTCATTGAATTTTTCATTTCCCCATATTTTTTTCAAGTTTTTTTTTTTTTTATTTATTTGAAAGGGAGAGTTACAGAGAGAGAGGTCTTCCAGCAGCTGTTTCACTCCTCAAATGGCCTCAATGGCTGGAGCTGGGCCACTCTGATGCCAGGAGCCAGGAGCTTCTTCTGGGTCTTCCACATGGGTGCAGGAGCCCAAGCACATGGGCCATCTTCCACTGCTTTGCTAGGTGCATTAGCAGGGAGCTGGATTGGAAGTGGAGCAGCTAGGACTCCATCCAGTGCTGATATGGGATACTGGCATTGCAGGCGGCAGCTTTACCTGCTGTGCCACAATGCTGCCTTCCCATATATTTTATAAGCAATAATAATAAATCATTTTTTATTTGTTGGAAGATATGCATAAGGTGGAATTTACCACTGTGAACATCTTTAGATGCACGGTTCAGTGACATCGGGTGCACTCATACTGTTG